TCCACAGGTAGTCCAGGTATCTTTAGGGAAAAATCTTCTGAGATACTTAACAACCTTAAGTGTAAAACCCTTTCTGATTTCAGATGGTATAAGGATTCCTTTTTTACCCGAATCTACGAAAAACCTGACGGAAATCTCCCATATTGGAAAGAAAAATTCCTAGACGGTCTACCTAAGTCTCTTAGGGATTTAGTTAAAGAAGAACTCCAAAATCAACATTCTGGTGATATTATTCCTTACGAACAAATCACCTATGGCCAACTCACCAGTCTCATTCAACATGTCGCTCTCAAAATCTGTCGACATGATAAGATATTGAGGCAATTAGCCAAAGATAGGGCACAGACTCGCCGTGATCTAGGTAGTTTCTGTGAACAATTTGGTTTACCACCTTGTAGCAAAAAGCCTCACAAGAGACGAACAACCAAGGACATGGAGATTACAAAATATAGGTCTTCTGCACCCAAGTTCAGGAAGACCAAACCATTTTCTTCTAAATCCAAAACTTTTCCTAGTAAAAATAAAAATCAACGAACTTCCAAACTCCCAATTCTGGCAAATGTTTCAAATGCAACAAACCGGGCCATATAGCCAAATACTGCAAGTTGTCTAACAAAGTTAGAAATCTTGATTTAGATGAGTCTGTTCTTAACCAGATCGAACAACTTTTATTAGAAGATAGCAACACTTCTGATAATGTTGATGATGAACTTGAATAGCAATTCAACAAACTCGAAGATGATGATGACACAAATTCATCTTCATCCCAGTCTAGTCAAGAAGAACCTGCAATTAATGTTCTCTCCAAAGAACAAGATCTTCTTCTTGAAATAATAAGCAATCTCCAAGATTCTGAGCAAAAGAAGTATTATCTCGAGCAATTCAAACGAAAAATAGATAAGCCTTCCACATCTTCCTCTAATGTCTTTAACAATCATCCTCAAGTTGCCAATACTTACAATATTACTGATATCCTCAGTAGATTCCCTTCCAAAAAACCTAAGGTAGTAACTATCCAAGATCTCCAAGCTGAGATAGCATTCCTTAAGGAAGAAATTCGAGAAATTAAGGCTAAACAAGAATTAGACCGTCTTGTTCTCCAACAGCTCTCTACCAAACCTGAAGAGCCCAAACCAACTGAAGTTAAACCAGTTGAACAAGAAGTTTTTTGCAACCACCTCTCCAGAATCTCCATAAGAAAATGGCATATGAGAGTCATCCTAATTGTCAATAAGTCCTTCACTTTGGATATCATTGCCTTATTTGATACAGGTGCAGATCTGAACTGCATACAAGAAGGGCTCATTCCAACCAAATTCTTTGAAAAAACCAAAGAAGGTCTTAGAGCTGCTAACGGCGGGAAACTAGGAATTAGCTTCAAACTCTCCAATGTTGAAGTTAGAACCTCCCTAGAAAATTCTCCATTGTCAGCCTCAAGTTCTTTTCTATTAGTAAAAGACCGTACTAATCCAGTTATATTAGGAACTGCCTTTATCGAAGAACTCATACCATTTATGGTAACAAAACAAGGAATTCTAATCGAACGCGTAGGAGGTAGAACCTTTCTCCCTTTCGATAGACCTCCAATGGCAAAGTTCTTGTCTACCATAAAAAGTAAAGAAGCACAGATCAATTTTCTCAAAGAGGAAGTAGCCTTCCAAAGGTTACAACAGCAACTTCAAAATTCTTCTCTCCAATCTAAGATAAAATTTTTTAGAAACCAAAATCCAAGAAGAACTTTGTGCTGATTTACCTACAGCCTTTTGGAATCGCAAGAGACACATTGTTAGGCTCCCTTACGAACCTGACTTTGATGAAAAAACAATCCCCACAAAAGCTCGTCCTATTCAGATGAATCACGAGCTAACCATTCATTGTCAAAATAAAATCAACGATCTTCTTGAAAAACGCATCATCTCTCCAAGCAAATCCCCTTAGAGTTGTGCTGCCTTTTACGTCAATAAAAACTCTGAAATAGAACGAGGTGTCCCTCGATTAGTCATCAATTATAAACCTTTGAACAAAGCACTTCGCTGGATTAGATACCCTATTCCAAACAAAAAGGATTTACTTCAAAGGCTTTATGCTGCAACTATCTTTTCAAAATTTGATCTAAAATCAGGATTTTGGCAAATTCAAATAGATCCCAAAGAAAGGTATAAAACTGCTTTTACGGTACCATTTGGACAATATGAATGGAATGTAATGCCATTTGGTTTAAAAAATGCTCCTTCCGAATTTCAAAGGATAATGAATGATATTTTTAATCCTTTTTCAAAATTTATTATTGTCTACATTGATGATGTTTTAGTATTTTCTACTAGCATAGATCAACATTTTAAACATCTAAAGGTTTTCTTTAATGTTATCAAAGAAAATGAATTAGTTTTATCAAAAACTAAATATAGTCTTTTTCAAACCAACATCCGATTTCTTGGGCACAATATTGAGCAGGAAACCATTGTCCCTATTCAACGATCCATACAATTTGCTGACAAATTTCCTGACCAAATTTTAGATAAGACCCAGCTTCAAAGATTTTTAGGATGTGTTAATTATGTATCAGATTTCATTCCAAGCCTTAGCAATTTGCTAAAACCTCTCCATGATAGGTTGAAAAAACCTCCACCTCCGTGGACTTCAGTCCACACCAACGTTATCAAAGAAATCAAGCTGAAAATCAAAAACCTACCTTGCTTATCTCTCCCTGATCCTTCTGCATTCAAAATAGTTGAGACTGATGCATCAGACATTGGTTATGGGGGCATTTTAAAGCAGAAAAAAGATGACAAGGAACAAATTATTGCATTCGCATCAAAACATTGGAATAATTCCCAACAAAATTATCCTACAATTAAAAAAAGAAATTTTAGCAATTGTTTTGTGCGTTTCTAAATTTCAAGCTGATCTATTAAATAAATTTTTTTTGTTAAGAATTGATTGTAAAGCTGCGAAATTTGTTTTACAAAAAGATGTACAAAATCTTGCTTCTAAACATATTTTTGCTAGATGGCAAGCTATTTTATCTATTTTTGATTTTGATATAGAATATATCAAAGGGAGCTCAAACTGTATTCCAGATTTTCTTACCAGAGAATTCTTGCAGGGAAGATAAAATGCCAAGAAAAAAGAAAGCCGACATTTCGGATCCTCCAATACCTACTCTCCCTCCTCTGGAGAAACAAATTACTGAGACAATACCAAAACAATCTGATACAGATGTTGTTTCCACACAACAAACAATTGCAGTTGCCTCCAAGGAACTCACAAAAAGCATAGCTGGACCAGACCAGCCCAAATATAGAAAGCCATCAGACTACGCCATGAGCGGAGTCCCCCAAATTCGTCTGATAGAAGATTCAGGACCAATCTGAATTTCCAGTCCAAAAAAATGGGCAGACCTAGTTGAAGAAGAAGAATCTCAACAATCTCAAGCTCAACTAGCACAAACCATGTCTTCTCCTTGGACAGAAGAAGAATTCATACAATGGCAACAACTCATGGGCATAAAGAATCAAATGGCCATGCCTGCCTTATTTAAAAAGCAACTGAGAGATCAATATCAATTATATAAAAATTATTATTCCAATGTGGTGGCACAAAGCCACGCATCTTCTTCCAACTCCGTGGCGGCCAAAAGTCACACGGCCTCTTCACTTCCTACGGTTGCCAAAAGCACCGCACAAAAAATATTGGAGGCAAAAAGCCCCATTACAGGTACAGGATGTCGATCCAACATCCCCAAGACTACAACCAGTCAGGCACTTTCTTCATCAGTGCCACAACCTATTTCTGTACACAAAGGCTCCTCCTCCGAGGAACCCACTTATAATAAGAACGAAAGTGTTTACCAACTCATTCAAATTGAACCAGAGTTCTGGCATTCCAACCCCCAAGAGGTAGATAAGAAAATACTTAGCCCTTCAGCCAATTTCGTTCGAAACACCCACAGACATACCCAAAAATATGAGTTTATTCTCACAGATACTAGATCTTGCTTGTTTAAGCCCCACAAAGAAAAACAAACCCAATCATTTGTCACCCATACTACGGTGTGGATGAACAAAATAATCTCACCGAAAGAATGGGGAACCCATACAGCCAAATACAAAAGACTTTCTCAGCCTTTTGACCCACAATTTTACAATTACTATGACTACCAAGCAACATGGATGAATGCTTTCACCTTCCAAAACCAACTTGGAAAGCATTCATGGTTCATCCTCTGGAGCAAACGGTTAAGCTCTGACTTCCCCCAGTGGTTTATACATCAAAGGTGGCCTGTATATGGTCATCGAGCTGAAATACTCCCAGCACTAGTAAGAGAAGGATATGATTATTTCTGTCATAGGTTTTCTAGTGAACAGCAAATACCCATACTCCAATTTTCGCACCGATTTCATATCCCATGGATATACTCCCAGAAGTTTTCCTTCCACAAGCCAGAAGGACAAAAAGGACTACCATGGTTAGCCCTCCAAGGACACTGCAAATGGTACAAAATGTGGGATTCATCTGAAGCATACGTACCTGCTGTAGACAAGTGGTTTCTATCCCATCCGCAGTATCTAGCTATAACATATGCTGCTCAAATTTTATTTTACAACAAAAGTCCATTGCAAGTGCACAACTAGCAGGTTCCAGCAGCAGGCTTGATTTTATTCAACAGATGGAGCAAATTCTTGATACCCTCAAGACACAAATTCCAGGTCAACAAAATCAAGCATCTTTGTCTGACAAATCATCAGAGGAAGAAGAAGAAGAAGAAGAAGAAGAAGAAGAAGAAGAAGAAGAAGAAGAAGATCCCGATTTAATGTTCTGAAAAATTAATCAGAACTTACATCAGCACAACACCACAATGACATCACAGCTGACATCATCCATGACGTCAGCAAACATTACTCCTAGTGACATCATGAATGACATTAGAAAACACTATGTAATTTTTACTTTTTTGGCTATAAATAGCCCTCCATATCACTTGTAAGACACACCTTACACTACCACTTGAGAAAGAATTCTCTCCCTCTCTAGAATTGGTTAGAGCTCTCTCTCTAGTTTACAAATATAAGTTTTTAACTTGTATTATCAATTTTTTCAGTTTTAATAACAATCAAGTTTATATTTATTTTTCTCTTATACAAGTTTGCATTTACATTATTCTGCATTATGGTCGGTTATACCGCCTAATTTACTTTATCGCATTTCATTTACATGGTCGGCTCTGCCCCATAAATTTATTTACTTGCAAGCTAACTACATCTTTTGCAGGCTTAACAATCATATTAGAAGCGCACATGGGACCGCAATATGCAGACATATAATTATTCTTAATAGTATATACTCTATGTATTATATTAAAGCTTATTCTTGTGACATGCTTGTATAGCTTCATAAATCTCATATCATATTTAAGATTACTAGTTTTACAAAAAATTATAGAAGAGGAGAATTTATTTAGTAGTAGAAACTTTTTGGCTCTTGAATAAAGGAAAAGAAGTGATTCAATCTGATGTAAAGGGTCTCTTTCTATGATCAGTCTTTCTCCTCCTCTCATTCTTTTTGCTTTCTCATTGATCTATCTTTCCTTTCTCGGGTCTTACCTGCTTTAAATAAACTGTACCTAACTGCAGTTGCAGTTGTACTACATTTATTTATTTGTTCCCTATCTACTTTGATTTTCTTGAACGGCTAGTCTCTATTTATTCGGGCTATAGTATGCTGGTTAGAGACTTTAATTAAATGTCTGTTTGACTGGTCAACTGAAATATATCTTTGCCCTTTTCCATGAAATGAATGCAATTTTATTTAGCAATTTTACTTCTGTATGGTAAAATTAAGCTTGTTTACATTGTAGGTGGAGGTGGTAGCCAAGCTATAGCACGGTATATAATTTTTCAATTCAAGATGTATCCTCATAATACAAATATTGTTGTTGTTACAATTTTAATTACCATATTGAATAATGGAATTGCAATTTATATCATGTTAATCTTTGTTTAAAGATTCACAAAATAAGAACAAACTCAGATTTTTCTATTACGATCACAGGAAGCACGATATTATTTCAACTATGCAAGCGGTTATTTTTTTTTTTTTAAATTAATCTTTTCTGGCTGTTAAAAAAATAAAGTCTAGTTGGAGCGACACATCAGAAGTGGCGGATTACCAAAGATATCTAAAGGTAACTCTCTATTAAAAAAATGTTACTTGTAATCTTAAAAATAAAATAATTCTATCTAGATAAGATAATCTAATCAATATAATTTTTTTAATGCTATAAGTTAGATTCTTTCTATTTTTAACACTTACATATAAAGAGTTTGAACCAGTGGCGGAGGCGTGGGAATAGAACCAACCGCCTCAAAGGTTTTGACCCACATTAACCACTATAATATATAAAATACCAAATGAATTTTGTCCTATATATACAATGTAATTTTTCAGCGAAAGGGATTCGAGCCTCCTTTTGGCCCCCTTAAATTTCCCCTGATTTGAACATAAAGGAGTAAATTTAACCTATTAAACTCATATTCAGTCATATTGATGGCTTGTGGAGAAGGCTAACGAGAAATGTTAGAGGTAAAATGTGCATGAAACTCATTATAGCAGTTGTGGCAGTGTTGGTGTACAAGATATGGCAGATCAAAAATAATGCAATATGGAACAACAAAGTATCACATCCAATGGTGATTTATTAACAGATTCAACAAGAATGTAAAGTTAGATTGAATATGCAAGTATTAGGAAAGAGGGGAGAGATAGAAGGAAATGGATAGAGATATTGTTATAGGGATGATAGATAGGAAAATTTTGCGGCTTGAAGGAATTTACTTCTACTGTACAGTTTAATAGGAATGTGTATAATTGGTTGGTTGAGAGACTAATAATATCTTTTTTGACTCCCAAAAAAATCATATTCAGTCAGCTACTATAATACGTATGATGTACGTAGTATTACAACATCTACTAGAGCAATTACAGCTACAACGTACTAAGTTTTTCATGCATGCACGCGAGCAGAGTCTTCAATTCTTAACGTAAATTAAAGAAACTACTATAATTAAGACATAGTCATCTGGGATTAACCAAAAGGCAAGTGGAAGAATCCAAGAAACCACAGGTTTGGTTTTGTTGCAGAAACAGAGCTGAACTGGCAAAAAAGACATAACGGCAGATAGGAGTGGAAGATTGGAGAGTAATAATAGCAATGCCCGACAAGCGTGGGGTTGTCTTGTCATGTCAAATTAAACTACTTCATTTAATGTTGCTCCTCTCCCTTATATGAATATGATATTGATATGTTTGTAAACAACATGTTATTAACCGTAGAAGTAAATATTTTCTAGTACTATTAGTGGTGGTTTGCTAGAGTGCATTAGAGAAAATAATGCGTGTATTAAGTTTGTGTATTAATAATATCTTGTTTGATACATTTTTTAACTTATATATAACTAATATAAGCATTAGTTATATACTCTATTTGGTATTATCCTATGTGTAGTTGGCGAGGCAGAATTTCCCAAGGGGTTCAAAAAATTCCGATAAGAGGGTTCAAAAGAGAAAAAGTTATAATATTAGAAAAAATTGTGGCTAGAAGGAATTGAACTAGTGATCTAACAAAGCTTTTGAACCCCCTTGACAACTAAGCTATGCTTTTTAATTATGTTAAGGGGATTCAAAATACAATATATAGAGGTACATAACAATTTTACCTTGTATGTACAGTGTAATTTTCCGGTGAAGGGAACCCCCTTCTGCCCCCCAAATCCGCCGTTGTGTATAGCTAATGCATAGCAAACCATGGTATTAGTAATACTAAGGGGTCGTTTGGTAGGAGGTATTAGAAAAAATAATGCAAGCATTAGCTCTATGCATTATTAATACCTTGTTTGGTACATTTTTTTAACTTGTGTATAACTAATACTTGTATTTGTTATACATCATACGTGGTATAATGCATAGAAAATCATGGCATTAGTAATACAAAGGCCATTAATGCATGCGTTAGTATGGTTAAAGACAAAATTATCCTTAAAGTCCCTTAAATCTAGAGAATATGAAGAGCATTTTTGTAAACAACTATTTTTCTTATAAATTATGCAATGCATTATAATTTAAATACACCACACCAAACAATAGATAAGAAATAATATATGCATAACTAATGCTTGCATTACTAACCCATGCATTACTAATCCATGCATTACTAATACACCTTATTCCGCATTATTCTTACGCACTCCACCAAACGACCCCTAAGGCTATTAGTGCATGCACTAGCATGGTTAAAGATAAAATTATCCTTAAAATCCCTTAAAGCTAAAGAATTTGGAGGGCATTTTTGTAAATAACTAATTTTCTTAAAAAATATGCAATACATTTTAATTTTTAATACACCACACCAAATAATGGATAAGAAATAATCTCTGCATAACTAACTTGCACTACTAATTTCTACAACACTAATACACCTTATTCCACATTATTCTTGTACATCCTATCAAACGACCCCTTAGTTGTATCAATAGTTTCGAAGATTCAAAAGATTCTTATAACAACAGTTTATTTCACATCAGATAAGATATTAGAACGTGTACAAAATTTAAGAAGATGAATTTTCATATATAAGTTGAATATTGAGCTTTTAAATCGTTTGAAAAAGAAAATAAACCTATTACTCATGCCGTTATAAGAGAATGAAAGGTATTACTATTTAGCGAGTCAAACAAAATTTTCTTTAAATATATTTTTTATAAATAATTTTTAAATATTTTGAATTGTTCATTATTGTAACTTATAGCAATATTTATGTAGATTTTAAATATTAATTTTATTTCAAGAAACATATAATGTTTATGTGACGACCCAACCCGTCGTCTCATGTGTTACAGCCCCGTTTCCCCCATTTATTGCTCTTTTTCATGTTTTATTATCAGCAATGGGTGAGTTAGAGTTGAATTGAATTGGTTTGGATAGCAAATGAAACACTTAGTCTCTTTAAAGAAGGTTTGGTTTGGAAAAGTCAACCGAACGTTGACTTATTAGTTAGAAAGCTCGGACGTGAATTCCGGTTATTCGGTTAGCTTCGGGAGGTGAATTGTGACTTAGGAGTGCGATCGGAAGTGATTTTGGAGGTCCGGTGTAGAATTAGGCTTGAATTGGCGAAGGTTGAATTTTGACGAATTCCGGTTGGTAGATGAGATTTTGATCCGAGGGTCGGAATGGAATTCCGAGAGTTGCAGTAGCTTCGTTAGGTGATTTTGGATATGTCTGCAAATTTTCAGGTCATTCGGACGTCGTTTGGTTGGGTTTTTGATCGAAAGTGAATTTCGAAAGTTTTTAAGAAACTTAGGCTTGAATTCGATGTGATTTGATGGTTTTAGCGTTGTTTAATGTGTTTTAAAGATTGGAACAAGTTTGAATAAGGTATTCGGATGTGTTGGTGTTTTGGTTGAGGTCCCGGGGGGCCTCGGGGTGAATTCGGGTGGTTAAACGAGCGTTTTGAGGTATGTTGCAGGTTCAGTTTTTCTGTCATGTGGTATTTCCGCTTCTGCGGAAATGGACCGCAGAAGCGGTTCCGCAGAAGCGGGTAAAGGAGCGCAGAAGCGGTCCGTAGCCTGGTGGAGTGTTTCCGCAAAAGCGGAACATTTTTCGCAAATGCGAGTCCGCAGAAGCGGTCTTGAGTGGTTCGCAGAAGCGGTGGTTGAATCGCATAAGCGAAGAGGCGGTTTTTAAGTGAAAACCGCTTAAGCGGATTTTTGGCCGCAGAAGCGGTAGCGGGACCGCAGAAGCGAAAATCGCTGGTAACAGAAGGGTTTTAAATGTTAAATTTTATCCGCGAGCAAGGGGTAGTTTCTACCATTTTTAAGCGACTTGGAGAGCTTTGGGCGAGGATTTTCGAGGGTTTTGACTGAGAACCAATTGGAGGTAAGTCTCTTGACCTAATTACTCGAGTTTATGGTAAATTTATCATAGAAATCAGTAGAATTTCATCAAAAACGGGTCAAGCTAGGGCTTGGAAAGCTGTGATGTAAAAATAGAATTTGGAGGGTCAAACAAGCTCCGATTTTGGTAAATTTTATATGTACGGACTCGTGGCGAGACGAGGAATCCGGTGATGTAAATTTCGTAATTTTTCGAGAAGTGGGCCCGGGGCTCGGGTTTTGCCAACTTCGTGAATTTTAGTGTTTTTCGAGTCTTTTCGATCGGGTTATGTTTCTTTAGCCTATTGTAACGTATTCGTTGTGGTTTTAATCAGATTCGGCGTGCGAAGAGGTTGATTCGAAAGGCAAAGGCATAGCGAGCTAGACTTGTGGCCGGCTTGAGGTGAGTAATAGATGTAGATGATGACCTGAGGGTTTGAAACCCCGGTATATCACATTGTGACGCTATATTGAGGCGAGACACGTACTCTATGACGAGTGCGGGGTCGATTGTGACTGGGGATTGTGACCTAGTCCGTTCCAAGTTATGTTCGTACTGCGTTCTTGACTAGAAATTGTTTGGTAATCATCCTACTTGGATTTTATGAATTGTTTGGGGCTTTGTGCCTATCATGTGCATCCTTCAGGGATCCTTATCACTGTTTCCATGATACTTAGCATATTTTTCTGATATCAGTCCTGAGTTAGACACTGCTTTGAAATGTTTAGTAAATAAATAAAGGTTTACACACTTAGCCCTATAACCCCTAATAACTAAAATTAAAAATGGACAATTCGACTGTGCCCGAGTGGCTTGCATGCATACATATATCTGGACTGAGTGTGGATCGGGCTGCACGCCGCAGCGAATGCTACGATGATATTGCGCTTGGGCTGTAGGAGCCCCTCCAGAGTCTGAACCCCCACAGTGAGCGCGGGTACCCAAATGGATCGGGCTGCGCGCCGCAGCGGTCATGTGCATTGCATTGCATTCATGCATTTTATATCTGTTGGTCTTGTCATCGTTTGCTATTGTTTTATCGTTTAACGTGCTAAATCGTTGATTATAGCTTTATATTGTAATATTTCGGGATTTCTTACTTTCAGCCATTATAT